TTGAAGTTCCCAGCATCATCGTAGAGCGCCGCATCTTCTTCCCTGCTCCTAAGCCAGTCATTATCGTGCAGATGATACTTCGCAGCGAAGAGCCACCTCGGGATCGCTACATAGCACCCGACAGGCATTTGAGCCATGCGCCTCCTGCACCCCTCTAGAGACAGACTCGGCCACCTCTGAGTATCCATGTGACTCAGGGGCACTGAAGTGCCAGATCTGCCAGGCCTGCACAGGGAACGACCCCATTGCATACAGCACTGATCCAGGGAGGTAGTGGACTAATTAGTTCCAACACCAGGAGGTGTCTGCTCCCGTGCAGCATGAGGCAACCGTCTCGGGTTCGGGGTTTGGGGTTCAGGGTTGAGGGTCCAGGGTTTCAAGTTCTGGTGTGGCGTAACGCCTCGAAACCCCTTAGAGCCTAAACCCGAAACCCCGAAACCTTAAAGCCTAAACCACAAGTGCAGGGTTTGGGACTCAGGTCGCTAAGGACCTAAGGTGAGTGCTGAAGATTTAAGGCACGGTGTTTAGGGATTAGGGGGCGCAGTGTATTGGGATTTAAGGTTGAGGGTTTAAGGCGCAGGGTTTCGGGGTTAACTCACTGACCCAGTGAATAGCGTACAAGCAGGATAGAAAATCAGGTAGCGACCCTTATAACGGCATCTATTGCCCGAGATGTTCAAAATGCTTTTGACCCCTCTTATGGTCGCCCATGTGTGGACCTTCAACTCTGAAGATAAACGCACATGACAGGCATGGAAACGTGCTGTGGGCTTGCTCAGTCCAGAACTCCACCCACTCCTAAACCCTAAACCCGAAACCATAAACCCTAAACCCTAAACCCTAAACACGCTCTAGAACCGAAGACCAAGCCCCCCTGAAAACTGGAAAACGAGCTTTTCCGAACCTCAGACGCGCCCTTTCACCATAAAACAGTATAAACCCCTAAACCCTAAACCCTAAACCAGTATGCCCACAAAAAACACATCTAAACCAACCCTCTACATGCTCAATGAAACTCCTAGAGGTGCGCATCTCAGACGCTTTCATCCCTGGAACCCTACATGGAGCCCTGGAAGAACCTCTAAAGGCACCCGAAACTCCAAAACCCTACAAACCATCCCTTAAACATACCCTAAATGGCCACCCAAGAATCTGAAATGTGCTGACCCTAAACCACAAACCCCTAAACCCTAAACCCTCAACCCTAAACGCTAAAACCTAAACCCCTGAACCCTCGAGCCTGAACCCCAAACTCTCAACAAACCGAGGAACAGCGCTCAGTTGGGGGGGCCTTTTCGAAGAAGTCGGAAACTTCCTGTACTTCCTCGGGGCCGACGGGAGGGAAGTCCAAGATGTAGCCTGGGAATCTTTCCGGGAATCGTTCGAAAATTGCCGCGCTCGGTGTATTTTTTTGTGGGGCACCCTCTAATGCGGTCTAGGGTTTAGGATTTAGGGGTCTATTCGAACATCGGGTGCGTCGAGGTTTGGGCATCATGCAAGTTTAGCTTTCTTGTGGGAGGAAGAGGTTTTGGGTTTTGGGAACTGTGAAGGCTTCCCGGCATGCCTCGTTCAGGCAGGGATGAGGAGGGCTCTAAACTAGAATTGCTCTTTCTGCAAGATCCAGCTCGTATAAGCTCCTTAACGGCTCCTGAAAGGGCTCTCTCAAGGTTGCTATAAGGGTTCCTACAAGTGTTCTTGGAAGTTTTCAAACGGGTAGGAATTAGGAGGTTTAGCCTCTGGTCTTGAAGTGTGAAAGAGAGGTCGGTGTTTCGGGTCTCGGTGTCACGGTTAAGGATTCAGACTACTCTAGAGGCTTAAAAAACCACCAATACTACTCTGGGGGTTCCTGAATATACATATACCCCCAAACCCTATTCTAAGGCTCTAGCGAACGCAGGTTGAGGTAGTTTTCCCTCCGCAGCTGTGCTGCGACGCCTTGACCAATAGGAGCAATGGCAGACCCAGCTTCACTGCTTGGTGCAGCTGTGCGAGCTGCCTGTCTGGCTAAGGCCCCGAAGAGAACCGTCCAGGCTGTTGCCGCTGCTGTGACTGCCGTGCTTGTGAAGCAGGAGCAGGATACAGCAGTGGCGAGGCCGGGGACGGAGCCAAGGGTGACAGTCGGAGTTCCAGGTACTGTGGTTGGTGCCTGTGAGACGCAGGTGCTTGTTGACCAGCTTCGCGAGGCTCGCAGAGCTAAGCGGCAGCGCAAGCGCCAGAGACGAAGGGAGCAGGCCCAGGCTGCGGTTGCTCCTTCTACGTGCTCTGATGCCAAAGCAGTCACTCTTACTGCGGATCATTCAAAGCGTGTGGGCCAACGAGGTTTTTCAACCTGGGAGGAGGCCTACAATGCGACTGGAATGCCAGCAAAGACTGTGGAGACATTCAGTGAATCTGAAAGCATGTCTGATGTTGCGGTGGGGAAACGCAAGACCTCTGACGACTTTGCTTTTGGCGCAACTTCTGAGCTGAACCGGCCTCGACGGGACTCACGGCGACCGACGGAGGGTTTCCAGGCTCTGAAGACTGCTGTGCATGGTTCGCACCGCAAAGACCAACACTTGAAAACACCTTCTCAACCAGAAGCCGCCTCTGTGGAGAAGGAACGACTGGTGCCCAAACCGGACCGACCCAGGAAGCAGCCTACGGGTCCGTACTAATTCATCAACTGCTCAACTACCTCCTGGCTCTGGTTGCAGTCTTTTTGTGATTGTGCTTCCAAGGCACAATTTAACATGTGATGGACCTGTGAAAAACAGGTCGCTTGTATAGTGTCAGAACCTGCGCATGCCAGGTCATCCGTCTTTGCACGACCAGACGCAAGTCCGCATCACCCCCAAACCCTATTCTAATTATCAAGGCCCCTACATTAGCTGTCCGGTTGGAGTGGGAGGGTTGTCTTGTGAGACGAACAAGACTAAGAATACTAACAATGCGAATCATACTAATGATACTATATGATACTAGCAACAGTACTAGTCATGATAACAGCAAACACTGATAATGATAGTGCTTTTTTGGCGAGGGGGGTAGCTAGGGAGAATTCGGATTCGGCAGGATCAAGCACAGCAGGAAGAGGCGCTATGACAGAAGGTGACCAGTTTGGGTTACGACTAAAGGTAACTACAATTCCCAATACTTAAACCCCAGCGTCCTTGTATAGCCCTACTGTTACTGTCAAACTGTCAAGCGGGATCTCCCCAACCTTGAACCCAAACTTCCTTGAATCCCAAATCAAAACAACACCTAGACCCTAAAGGGCCGTGGTGAGTTTAGGGGTTTTTGGCAGGTTGATAGCTCGGAGGCCAAGCTAGCTAGGGTTGCGGGTTCATTGCTTAGGGTCTGGGGCCTGGGATTTCGGACTTGGGGTTTTAGGGCTTCGAACGCCCAAAGACCATACTATACAAGGCTTTTGGGCCATTTTAATCCCTAGGGTCAACTTTAAGGGTTATTTTCAGGCTTACTATAAGGGTTAGGGGATGGAGCCCTATAGTAGCCCCTAGAGAATCCACGTCAACTGCAGCCCCGGGCTGAAGTCAAGTCAAGCTGCCGTTGGCTTTGCACAGCGCGGAGGACATTGTCTCGAGAGTTAGCCTCCGGCCAAGGAGTGTGTATATCAACTATAAGGGTTCCTTTAAGGGTCCCGTTAAAGGGATCTATAGGGATTCTGTAAGGGTATAGGGTTTAGGGCTCTACTTGGAGGTTCATGGGTAGTTATAAGTAGGGTTATAAGCAGGGTAACTATACTTATCACACATATTAGGGGACTTATAACCCTACTTATAACTACCCATGAACCTCCGGTCCAACTAGCAGATAGGGGCTTAGGGTGTAGAGTTTAGGATATAAGGAGTTTAGGGTGTCGGTGTCCTAAACGATTTTTGGGGCTTAGGGTGTCGGGTTTAGGTTCATAAACCCTACTGAATATTCATGGGTAGTTCAGCTTTTTGGTTTTGTCAGCGTTGTTGGGCTTGGTTCAGGAATTGCGAGGTGGGACGATGCAATGTAGGCCAGATTGTCAATCAACGCACTATGACAAAAGATGATCACCACAACCGAAGCAAAAATAACAGTGTCGCAGACATTAGTACTGAGAATCACGAGCGCCCATCAACAACCGAGTTCCACTATAGTCGTTCAACACTACCACCACTCAGTTGATCATAAGCAGAACTTGAAGTGAAGCTGGGCTTTCCGGATTTTGTGACGGAACTGCCCAAGCAGAAATCGTGCCTGAAAGCCCCTTAGTAGCAATAAGTGACCTCGGGGTTTCGGTTTTCGGGTTCAGGGTCTAAGACTAAGACTATGCGTAGTGTAAACCTGCTACTCAAGGTTGATGCGTAGTTAGGAGTAGGACGGGTTGTAGGATTGCTTGGATGTCGTAGGGTTTTATAGAAAGTGATGTAGGAGTACAACAATGACCGTCATAATACATAGAAGCAAGGCAACTGCGGGTATGATGACATGATACAACCCTACTTGCAACGAGCCATAGACCTACAGCGTGGCTGCTGGAGCTAAGAGCGCATGGTTTCAGAGCAGAGTCGACCTTTCCCAGGTGGGCAATTGTCAAAATTATGGTCCCTGTTTGGGTACACTAAACAATAGGTGCCTTTACTATAATAGGGACCCCAAAAAAGGACCATAATTTTGACAGCCAGTCAGGTGGATTTCAGAGAGCTGCTACTTAAAGCGAGGCTCTGCTACTGGACAAGCTCGGGTTTTAGAGGCTTAGGACGCCTCCTGTACAATTCTTGGAACGTTACTCTGTACAGCATAGCTCCTTCTGTTGATGGTATAAATCCTGCATTACCTTAAGGACCCTAAACTGTGGGAATTATGGTCTATTCCTTATTATGGGTAATGCAGGATTTCTATCATCAACCGTTCTGAGAGAATATGACAGAAGAGGGGTCGCAGACGTCAGCAGTCCATGATAAGAGAGCTGCTGTACATGCTTGGACATGCTGCTGCAGAGACCTTCATGCATGACATGTGAAGACTCAGAAGACCCCTGCATTTGGTGCTTTGACCTTCTTCGTGGCCCGGGGGAACGGCTTCCGCACGCCATTTTTGAAAATGACGGGCTTGTACTGCTCTGGCACACTTCGGTGCATGACCGGGCTGTTCCTGAAGCGCTCCACGTGCGCCTGTGCAGTGTGGCTTCACGAATCAAGAAGAGAGTAGTTCTCTAAGTTGGGGCCCGTTTAGGATCTTTGTTTAAGTGTGCTGTGCTACTTGGGGGACCTAGGGATCCTAATTATGGTGTGATGCTTTCGGTTCTGGAGCCCATGTGCTGCTTGCCGCGCACTTGACCCAACATGCGATGGACATGCGAACCGCCTAACAAGAAGCCCGGAAGACTCGGCTATGCCTGTGCCTTGACCCTTCTTCGTTTGCCCTGCCTGACGTTGTCGTTACCACAACCCGAACCCCAAAACGGAAAAGACAGAACCTTATAGGACCCTGACAAAATGGGAGTTTCCGAAGATTAGGGGTACCTTATTTGGGGTCATCGTAATAAGGATCCTACTATTTAGGGTACTATATTAGGTTCCCCTTTGTTCGGAAACTCCCTTATAGCAAAGGTGGTAAAACTTGGCCTCAAGGCCCTGATGTGGGCCGCTCCAGCGAACCTTTCGGGAAGAGTTTTCGGCTGCAGGCATCATAGGTTTCGGGATTCGGGCGTGAGCAGTTTAGGATTTCTGTTTTTCAAGATTTGGGTTTTGTATGGTTTCCAGGGTTTCTTATGGCTAAAACTGAAGAATGTGGCACGTCAGGGCAGCTGAAGCGCGCACGCCGGCGCGCCCACTCAGGCTTTCGCCCCGGCACCATAGAAGTTACAGTCGATGCCTCAAACTAAAGCTATTAAAGCCCCCTCTTCTGGAAGAACATCCCGCCTGGCAGACCTTTGCCGAAGGCAAAGACCAGCCCACGAAGCCATCGAAGGCTGCCCACAGATCCTCCACAGCCCTGTTGTCCACCAGGTTCACGAAAGCATAGCCTTCCCACTTTCGGGTTGAAGGTTTAGGTGTGAAGTGCAAAGTCAACATAGGATAAAAATCTGCAACAATAGGAATCCTGGTTTCTCGGAAATGCAAATAAGATATGAGAAAAAAGAAAAATAGGACCTGCCCGCACTCCCCGCGCCGCTTTACACCCTGCGGCCCCGTGTTATTTGCCTATTGTTCGTCCCAGGTGTTTCCTACATTTCCTACTCTTCTCCTATTTTAGTCTATTCCATTCCTATTGTTCTGCTGTTTTCTCCTCATTTTCCATTTTATTCCTATGTGATTCCTATTTTCCTAGGTGATTCCTATGTTTCTCCCATTATATTCTCCTATTGAGAATCCTTTCACATTTTTCTCCTGTGGCTTTCTTATTTCCTATAAACCCTTAAGTCCTATTTATGTTCTTTTTGTCTCCTATTTCTGGAAATCATGGTTTTCTCTAGACTTAGCACCGCTGAGATTGACATAGATTTAGGGTTACAGAGCAAAGCTGTTCGAATGAGCTGGTCTCAGGCCACATTGGGCTTTTATAGGCTTCAGGAGTTTAAAGGGGAGTTTCCGAAAATAGGTGTACCTTGTTTTGAGGTCCGTATAATAAGGATCCTTCTTTTAGGGTGCTGTATTCGGGTCCCCTATTTTCGGAAACCCCGGGTCCCCTATTTTCGGAAACCCCCATATAGCATTGTATAAGATGCTGATGCCAAGGTCATTTCTGGAAAGACTGGGTGGCCTGATTACAGGGACTTCGCAGGGTTCACGAGGCCTTGATGTCGTCTGCATTGGAGCTCAAAGGTGTAGGGTTGAGGGGTGTTTACTTAAGGGCTCCAGGTTCTAGGGCAAAGGTCTCGGAATTTGCTTGGGTATGACTCCGGTTTCAAGTTAAGTGGAGCTGGGTGACCAAGATTGGCGTCCCTGTAGAAGTCGCAAGGCAGGTAGGCGAAGTCGTAGCGCCCGGCGAAGCCGTGGTGGTCCAACAACTCCAGGAACATTTCCCGGGTGTAGTTGTTCGGAATGTTCCTTAAAGGCTGTAAGGCAGAAGCTAGGGCCCTGTCCGGCTAAGCAGAACGCAGACATCGAAATGAAGGAAGGTTTCAACCGTTGGAGTGCTACGAAACGAGTAGAAACACCCCAAAATCGAAATCTGAAGTGCAGAACGAAGAAGCCGCAACATGACCGTGGTTCGTGTTGGGACCTGTGATACGTGCTGTGCGGAGGGTGCCTCCGGGCGCAGGCCGGTGTCTGCTACCTGGGCTTTGAAGCAACCAGGGAGAAAAAGCATAGACTTTTAGTTCATCATGGTTCCTTCAAGAAATAGGTCCGCGGAATATGTATTACAGTGCGGTACTCCAGAACCTAGCTACAGTGTGCCCTGCAGTTTCGGGAGCGCCAGCGCTCTGCAGCTTGGAATTGCTCAACCTTCCAGGCTCGTACGCCTCTTCTGGAGAGACCTCTACCAAGACAGAGTCGGTCTGGAATCGACGCAGGCGCCGGTAATGCTGCATGAGGCTGCCATCACTCAACTCGATAAACGTGCCCCTCACGACCACGCTGCATTCGTCTTCCTCGCAAGTCTCTGATCGAGGTGAAGGGACCTGCGAGGAGCTGGAGTCCTCGACGGTGTCGACGTCGCTGTCATGTGCTGCCGTGCTCTCCGCTTCACTCTGCTTCTCCGCATCCTCGACAAACTGCACAGGCACAAACATGATGGAGATGGACGACATGGCAGCAACAGCCCTTGCACCGTCTTCACTGGCCGACAACAGATTCTGAGCCTCAAGGAATGCCACGTACACTTTCGCAGTTGAGGTTCGAATCCGCATGCAACCGCAACTCTTGTGGCCAAACATGGGGGTTGTTCCCATCTAGTATCCACCCCAGACTAAACCCTACAGCGTAGCGATAGCAGGACAGTATGAGCTGCTGCCTGCTTAGACCCGAAACCACTGAAACCCTGAGTTACAACAACCCTGACATCAGTACTGAGAATCACGATAGTCTTCATGATTGTGACCCTAAACCCTAAACCCTAAACCCTAAACCCTAAACCCTAAACCCTACCCCCTCCGAAACCCCAAACGCCAGGACCCGAAACCCCAGGAGCTGAACCAGAGGGCCTCAGTGCGTCCCCGATCTGCACCGTCATGCCTGGACCCCAGAGACTCCACTATCCCTTAATTAAGGAATATACCTTAAATTATAGTAGGATCCCTAATAAGATTTAAGGTATATTCCGTAATTAAGGGATATTGGAGTCTCTGGGACATGCATAGGGCTGCGCGACTTGTACATGTGTGTGTGTGTATATATATATATATATATAGACATATATGTATATGCAAATATGCGGATGTACATACGCACGTATGCATGCATATCTGTTTGTACGCATGTATGTATGCGTGTGTGTATATATATAGATATATTTGCATGCATGTATGCATGCAATATGCATGGGTGTGCTTGCGTTCGCCTCGTATTTATGTACTTGTACAGTGAGCTTGCTGTGTGTGTATAGATACATGCATACATGCCTACATACTGATGCATGCACGTACACTTGCACTTATATATACTTATACTTATACTTATACTTAAACATGTTTATATGCCCATGTCCATTCCCGTACCAATACACATACACATATACATACACATATCTGTACCTGGACATGTACCTGTACACTGTACATGTTATATGCATGCACTTACGTATGTATGTACAGTTATATGGGTGGTTGTCAATATATTTAGGGTGCCCCAAAAGGGACCATAATTTTGACAACCACCCATATTACATACCGCATACCCATGTACTTGAACGGCCACTCTGCTTCTCTTGAGATTCTTCCAGTTGCTTAGCTGCTGAATTCATAAGCCCCAAAAAGTGTACACTTTGAGGTTTATAGGGGGTAATATTATGCCAAAAAGTGTAAAGTGTATCCACTCAGCTACCACGGTTGTTCTTCGGAGTACTGCACTTGTCCCTGTCGGTCGAGCAGGGCCCCTCCTCCGGCCCCCTCCTGCTCCTTTCCCTCTTACTTGGGGGGTCGGGGGACTTAGTAAGTAGTTAGTAAGTAGACTTATAAGGTACCTTAGAAGGGGCCCTAATTAGGGTTATGGTACTTATAACTCCCTAAAATAACCAGTTACTAAGTCCCCCGACCCTCCAAGTAGGGTCTAGGACTTGGGTTTAGGGGGTTTAAGCGTTGAGGGTTTAGGGCGCACAGGTTCAGGGTTTGCAGGTTTAGGGCTTAGGGTTTAGGGTATAGGGTTTAGGTCTTTGGATTTTGGGGTGGAGGGTATAGGGGTTTGGGGTTTTGGGTTGCTTGGAAACTCCAAAACACCTCAACTGCCCACATACTCTTAAGCACAAGACTCAATCAAATTATAAGGGCTTCGAAGTCACCGCTCGAAGAGCCTCGCAGCCCCTGAGTCCCCTGAGCCCTAGCCAAGCCAACCGGCCCGCTTGAACCGCTAAGCGCTAAAGCCCTGAATCGCGAAACGCATTCTGCCTAAATAGATAGGATAGGATAGTACAGATAGATAGGATAGTATAGATAGATAGGATAGGATAGTATAGCCCGAACCCGCAAAGCCCTCAAACCCAAACCTCAGATAAAACTCCGCCGCCGCCCTAGCCTCGCTGCAGCTGTTCCACGCAGCGTTTTGCCAAAGCCGAACGCTGGCCTGATCCGGCTCATGGTAACTACGGTACTACGGGCAGGGTTCGGAGCTTAGGGCTTTCTCAAAGCAGCGTTTAGGGTTTAGGGTTTAAGGTTTAGGGCTTAGGATTTAGGGTTTAGGGTTTGGCAAGTTCTGTGTTGAGATCGGCATTGAAGACTTCGGGTTCACGGTCAATGCAGAGGCTGTATCTGCGGACATGCAGCATTCAAGTACAGTGTATGTTTCGGCAAAACTTGAGGACTGTCGCATCGGCTTGCAAGCCCTCATTTCCCTGTCGGACATATAGTCTACCTTCAAGTATCATACAAGGAAATCTTCCGGCATGCAGAGGCCTTTAAACTGGAGCTTTGAGTAAGAGAAAAGGCGTGGCTTGGTGGGTTACCGCAGAGTTCGCGGAACTCTGGACAGAAGTAAACCTGAAACCCAGGGCCGCAGACTTTAACGCCATACTCTAGGGGCCTTAATGATATGATAAGAATAGGGTTTGGGGATATAATATACTACAACTATGTTAAGGAACCCCCGAAGGCCCCTGTATTGCTTCTACCTGCACTCTGTCGCAGTGACGGCCTGGGGGTGTGCGGACTGCCAGCTCTAACACCTCGGCAGGGCTTTGGCCTAAGGGTTTGTAAGGATAGGCTTGATTGAGAGGTTATGCGGGTTTATACTGCAAGGGTCTCATATGCCTTTTTGTAAAGGTGTTCGAAAGGGTTCACAGGGGTTTTGTATGGCATTTATGGGGCTTTATAGACTTGGCTTTGTAGAATGCTTGTATGGCAACCTAAACGCTCCTGGGGGGTCGGGGGTGGAAGCCCTCATATACGGATCCCTATGAACACTCTTACATACGGAGCGGGCATAATGAATGGGCATTAAACCTCTATTCATCCAAAACAACCGATCACAAGCCCGGAGAAATCGTAAAACCCAAGAGCTTATGACTGATAATCCTCATAAAGCCCACTGCAAGGGTTCCAAAGATTACGCACAACCCTCTAACTAAGCAATATACCATAGACCTAGAGGGATTCTGGTTATTATGCATGGTATACCGTTCCAAACCCTACAACCTGGACTCACTACTCAGAGACTCCAATATCCCTTAAGTAAGGAAAATACCCTAACCCACATTAGGGACCCTACAAAAATTTTACTTAAGGGATATTAGAATCCCCTGAACCCTAAACCTTATAGATCCCTTATAGATCCCTTACAGGAACCTAGGTGTATTCCTTACTACTATTTGCTTAAGAACCCCCAAAAAATATAAATTTATTCCTTATGGGGGTAATATAGGGATTATTATTTTTATTTTTTTGTGGTTTCTTAAGCAAATAGTAGCTTACTTAAGGGATATTGGAGTCTCTGGGCACCTTGGGGGCTTTGGAGGAGCCCAAGACTCCCCTCTGCGGATGTCGGGTTTAAAGATTTGGGAGTTTCCGAAAATTGGGGACCCCAATATAGTACCCTAAATAATAGGGTCCTTCTTATAAGAACCCCAAAATAAGGTACCCCTAATTTCGGAAACTCCCATTTAGGTCGAAACTGGAGGTTTGCCCCTTATAGATCCCTTTAAGGAACCCTGAATCTTAGGTATGTTCCTTAATTCAAGGGACTTTCGGCGTCTCTGGGTTAGGGTCGAGGGTTCAGGTGTCTCTTAAAAGGTCATGTTCGGGTTCAGGATTCAATTTAGGGTTGAGCGTTTAGGGTTGAGGGTTTAGGGTATAAGGTTGAGGGTTTAGGGTTTAGGGTTGAGGGTTTAGGGTTGAGGGTTGAGGGTTTAGGGTTTAAGGTTGAGGGTTTAGGGGTGAGGGTTTAGGGTTTAGGGTTGAGGGCAAGGTGTGAGGTTTCAGGGTTTCTACACCGGCCTCTCGCCACCTCTAATCCTACTTCTCGGGTGTATCCTGGGGAACTAAAGGTTAACCTTTCGGTTATACAGGGATTATATAGAGACTATACTACCCCAAAAAGGTTAAAGGTTATATACTATAAGGGACCTTAAGGGGCTATCATCGGGATCCCTACTAAGAACCAGACAGTATATACCTGCTCTACTACTAGGTAATCAATCGGCCTTCCCACGGCAGCGCTTGGCAGGCGTGGGCGTTTAGGGTTCAGGATGTAGGGGTTGGGGGTTTAGGGCTTGAGGGTTGCAGTACACGGAGTTTTCCTGAGTTTAAGGCCCGAGACCTCATAACCTCGTCAACTTTATCAGACGACATAGGAAACCACAGGCACAAAGGGGACAAGAATGGGCGGACCAGCCATGACAAGCATCTACATCGTCGTGTTGACAGCCACAGCTGTTGATTCACTGTCAAGGCCCCGCCAGGCCGTAGTGCGCCATTGCTCCAATCTCTGAATCGTCTCAACCTTTCCTTCTGGCCCCTATGTTTGTAGTCAATTTGTCAGTGCTTCTCTCAGGAGGGGGCTTGCGACGACAACAGTCGCCCCGCGCATGCGGTTGTTGACGCGCCGCCAGCGATCACAACCGTCGCATTGTGCATGGAGATCGCAATAGTTCAAAGTTGCGCCGTCGGCGCTGCTTGCGAGCTCGATGCCTCCGAAGTCTTGCTGATGATGCCTGCTGCAGGGCCTTCGCAGCTTCATGCGCCGACGGCTTGTGTCACTCGGGAGCGTTTCCTGCACGTACGCAGATGCGTCGCGCATCGCTGTCCGACCTCCGACTCCCGGCAGTCTGCCAGCCTTTCCAGCTGCGCGTTCGCATTGCCATCATAATCTGAATCATGCCGACATAAGCACTGAGACCCTAAACATCCCGAAACCCTATAAACCCCTAAAATGCTAAAAACTCAATCCCCTAAGCCCTACAGTCTCAAGCTCCAAACCCTAAACAGCGTGGAGCTGCGTAGGTGGGCTGAAGCCACTGCAGCCGCAGCTTCTGCGCCAGGCGCCGGCAGACTTCAGTCTTGTACTCTCCTTCTGCACTTAAACCTACTTCTCGGGTGCATCCTGGGGAACTAAAGCCTGACCTTTTGGGTTATGTAGGGATTATATAGGGACTATACTAACCCAA